TAAACTTTGAAAGGCTGTCCCTACCTGTGCAGAGGTGCTATCGCTATTGCGTTAATTACTAATCAGGGATCGGGACAGTGTATATTATTGAAGGAACTAAACGTGCTGGGTATAGTCCGAGGCTTCACTTAGCATAGATTTGCACCTTAATCATTTCTTTGGTTGCTCTAGTATCCACTGTTTCCATTGTCTCAACATACCCCAATGTTGCGCAAAACTCAAGGTTCTATGCTATCATATCTTGTAGTTCTTATATAACATTTTCCAAAACGTACATTTTTGTTCATGCTTTTTCATTTAAAGCTGATATAGGCATTCAGCTACGTTTTCGAAATTTTACGTTTTGTCAACAGAATATCTTATTCTATCAAAAAGTATACGTCATGTCGTAAAAAACTCCTACGTATTATTAGCAGAATTGGCAACAACCCAAGATAAATATGAGTTGTAAATAACGGAGCGTAGCACTATAGAAATCTTGGGTAACATACTTGCGGATTTAGGCTCTGCTCTGGTTGACACGCTACCGGAATCCTGAACTAAGGAAACAATTATAATAGACTAATAGCTTCTCAGTTGTTTACTTTCTTTCGGCTAAAAATGTTCAGAAGCGTCTTCACAGATAGGAAGCTTATGAATGGCTCAAATTTTATTTTACACCTCTCATGATTCCTTCGTATAAAATATGTTTTTCAATAGTCTTCTTTCTTCCTCAGTAAGCGAATATCAAATTTGTACTTTTTCTTTACACGAAATGAATCACCATTTTTTTCAGGCATTCCTTTTGCTAACAAACGCCCTCAGCTGCCACCAAAATTCTTTCAGAACATCTACCAAAAAAATTGCTTTTGGTATAGCTAGTTTTTTCCTTTCGTAAATTCTAACACTTTGTGAAATGTTCGTATAAAAACCTCATGCTGATGGGAGGCATCAGCTCAACATGTTCCGTGTACTAGCCCTTTTTGCAATTCCTACCATTCTTTTCGCTTGTTCTCCAACTCCATTTGGTCAAGGTAAGTCACTGAGTAGTACAGATTGTGAACTCATGAAATGATTGTTGGGAACTATATCTAGATTCTATGTTAAACTTATTTGCAAATGATGAGCGTATGTCTGACATACGTTATTATTTATCAACAAAAAAATAATTGCAGATATTTCCATAGATCTCCATTCCTCAAACATCAATGTATATAGATCGTTACATTGTCATTTGACT